CAACGGCAAACATGGCATCGACAAGCAAGTGAGTAGTTTCTACTGGGAATGAATTTCCGTTCATTTTTGTCTAATTACCCCTTTTTGAGAAACACAGAGAGAGAGAGAGAGAGAGAGAGGGAGAGAGAGGGAGGCAGAGAAAGAGACAGAGACATAGAGAGAGGGAGGGAGAGAGAGAGAGAGAGAGAGAGAGAGAGAGAGAGAGAGAGAGAGAGAGAGAGAGAGAGAGAGAGAGAGAGAGAGAGAGAAAGAGAGAGAAAGAGAGAGAGAGAGAGAGAGAGAGAGAGAGAGAGAGAGAGAGAGAGAGAGAGAGGCAGGCAGACAGCTGGGCAGAGGCAGGCATAGGCAGGCAGTCAGGCATAGACTAGACAGGCATAGGCTGGCAGTCAGGAATAGACATGCAGTGATACTGGTCTAAAAGCTGTAAAAGAACGTAAATGAGTTTGATTAATTTCATCTCAAACACCCCCTATATTTACATTTACCTTCACCCTTCACCCTTCACCCCTCCCGCCTCCCACACTCGGATACCAGTTAAATTGTGCATTTTCTTCCAGCACAGGCAGGCTATCATGGCACTAGCCAAACAGCTCGTGTACGCCAACAATGAGGCGGAGATAGCGACGACGATGGAGCTGGTGGCTACCGAGTGGGGCGAGCGCTACCCACTGCTGGACCAGTACCTGCAGGGTTTCGCTGCCCGCCGTCAAGAGTGGGCGCTGTGTCTCCGCACGGATGTCCCCACCCGGGGACACAACACGAACAACATCGTAGAGTCCGCCTTCAGAGTCCTCAAAGACTCTGTCCTCTACAGGTCAGTCTTTATTCATATGTTTCACCTAATTGCGGTTCAATAAATAAAACAGTTAACCTGGCGTTCATAGACAAACCTGTCTTTTAACTAAAGTTGATTGTAAAACTGTTTCGGTGACCGGAGGTATTGCGATAGATTCATTACTATTTTAAAATATTTCAAGTTGTAAGGTTGCCCAAAAGTGGCAAATGTTGAAGAAATGTCAAAGTTGCAGTTACAGACAAATTCCAATTAATAAAGACAAATAATTGGAAAAAAAGCCAAAGCAGGGGAGTAGTTTTCCTTTCAATATAGGTCGGAGGGCTGAGAGTTAGCCGGTAAAATGTTCTCGAAAACACCATCAAAATCCCTAGGACTGTGCAATTCTCCCCAGTGTCTGCCAAAGTTCAGAGCCTGAAGCCCCCGAAACGGAATTGGACCATACATCCCTTCGTCAAAGACGTTAATTACTAACTTGTGACTTTCATGGATTAACACGGATTAACTTGTGAATATCACGGTTTTACATTTCTGTTAACCCTACATGTGGAAGAAAAACAAACTTTCGCATTTCGGGTAGGTTGTGAAATTGTTAGTTGTGCTTTTGGCTGCTCTTCTGAAAGCCTTATTGTGTCCATACGATGGCAGTCTACCGTTAATTATAGCTGCAAAGAAATTGTTGAAATATTCGCTTGACACGCGCTGTTTTTCCAGGACTCGGGCGTTCAACCTGCTGCAGCTGTTTGATTTCGTCACGGTCCAGCTCAGCAAGCACTACGCCAGGAGGGCGTGCGACGTGGCCAACGGCCGGCAGCGGGCGGCACCGGTCCGCGGCGGCACCAGCCAAGAAACGGGCACTGTGACGCAGGTATTTTGCATGACACGAGAACTGATTGAGGTCACATAAGACAGCTCGTTTTCCAATGCTGGTCCCACCCGTACTGCCACATGGCTGTGCAAAGTGACCAATGCAATCGGCGCACCCCTAAGCACCAATAAACCACATTGCTGTGCATTCACACACAAGAGTCTGTCACTGTACCGCTGTGCCACTGTAGGGCCGCGTGGTGTTGGCGCTGTGTGCCACATCTCGTGACTCGTTTCGCGTTTTTTCTTGTTTCTTCTTTTTTCCCTTTGGGGGTCTGTTTTAAAAGGCCAAGCTGACAGTACTGGGGCGAATGAACAGGTTCGGATTTTCGTACAAGTAACCGTCCGTCAGTTTATGTTGTACAGTCTGTCTTAAAAGTCCGCGAAAAAGCAACGGTGGATCCATCAAGCCTGACCGAGGAAGGGCCTGCTCAATTTGAGTCATCAAAGCAATTGATATTCTCGTCCATTCCCCAGGTCAATTGGTTCGGTGACTTTCAAAGTAAAGCAGGCCTTTCTTCAGTAAGGCTTGATGGATCCACCGTCACTTTGCGCGGTACTTTTAAGACAGACTGTACATACGAATTTTACAGGATTTTATGTGTTGCCCCTCCCACAGGTGACGGAGTTCACCTATCAGGTGAAGTCGCTGACGTCGGTCGGCATCACCTACCTGGTGGACCTGAACGTCGGCGCCTGCACCTGCAGGATGAACCGGCGGACTGGCGGCTGCAAACACCTCCGAGCCGTGCGGCAGCAGACTGGCGCTGTGCCGGAGGCGACGGCGACAAAGGAGACGCGGAGGGCCTTGATGGACATCGCCATGGGGACCAGCCAGCAGCTGCCAGGCAACTGGTTCGACCCTCTGGTCGCCGAGCCGTCCACCTCGTCACCTCCTGTCCCCACGCCCGCCAGCGCCCCCGGAGTCGCGCAGCCCCAGCCGTCGCCGAGTCCCGAGGAGTACGACGACGACGCAATGGACTTCGAGGACCCCGCCGCTGCGGCGGCGGCTGTCAGTGGAGCTGAGCAGCGACGCTCAGATGACCGGACACGCCAAACCGTGGCGTTCATCCAGGAGTGGGCAGCCTTCATGTGCGAGGCAGTCGTCCAGGACGACACCTGGGAGAGGGCTGCCGCTGCCTTTCAGCAGAGGTGGGGCCAGCTGCCCACTGCTGGCCGCCAGTCCGCTCTGCACCAGTTTGGAGGCGCGCAGGGCTGCCGGCGGAACGCCACCCAGATTCCGGTCCAGCCGACCAGCACTGCCCGTCGCACCAGCACCAACGTGCGGGGGCGCGCTCGCTGGCCCGCTGGACGGCCGTGCCGCTCCGCGCGCACCGGGGAGCACGGCTACGTGGCAGCCTCCGCCAGGCGGTCGGCGGCGCCCCACAGCCTGGCCACCTGTGTTGACCAGAACCGCCCCCTGGGGCGCTGAGTGATAGAGGTGAAGTGGGGGTGACCGGGGCAAGTTGGTGCCAGGGGGGGGGTAAGTTGGGACGGAAGGGATATTTCCAATACTTCTCGACAGTTGGCGTTCAAACTTATTTTGTACATGAACAGTAACGCCGTCTGTTTGTCAACGTGGTGTCGGCGCGTGCTGAGGTAAGTGCTGTTAATAATCGCTACAAATGTGTTTCAGGTACCAAAAGTGATTTTCTTGCTGTGAAAATATTCTCTTCTAGTGTCGTTGTGTGTGCCTTTTTGTTTGCCGCAGGAGTACTGCAAACGTTTGTGTTTTGTCGTTAATGCCCGCATGGATTAGCGATGATTGTTCATGTGAAACATGAATAAAAATGTGTTTAGATAAACTGTTTTTCCTAGTGTACCAACTTGCCTTAGGCCTTGGCCCAACTGACCCCCCGCCGCGGGGTAAGTTGGGACATTGGAGGATGGCCGCTTTGATCAGATATGACACCAAGACGATGCTACCATCTCTCTTATATTAAGTCTTCTTTAAAAGATAAAGAAATCAGATCTCAGTTAATAGCCAACAAATAATGATGCATAGTTATACCGAAGTTATGACGCTTCAAGCAATAACTGGCTCAACTAGCGTTAGCGGAATGACGCAAAATTAGCAGGTGACCAGTGACCACTCCCAGTTCGCTAATATGTTTGCATCATTAACATACCTTCCACTATAAGCACGGTTTCTCAATCTTAACATAAAATATAACATCTTTTCATGTAATTTGCATCTCTAATATACCCCAGTCAAACTTGCATCACTAATGTAGTGGGGGACTTCTTGGGAAGAATTAGTTTCTAGGGACTTACACATTTATGCTCATTTCCCCACATTTGTCGCCAGGGGGAGAATTCCCCAGAATTTTCCGCTAGGAGTGGCTGAGCCCTATGGTGAATTCAAAATACGCAGCCGGAGCGGCAGGACGCTTAGCCGCGGGCGCCGCAGCATCGGGCGGCGACCGTGAGCCGCGGCCGGGAGCTGAACGCTTCGACTTTCGGGATGCCGCCCGCTTCATAACCTCCGGCACGGAAACCTGGCGCTTACGGTTGCCACCCTGCCCCAGATCAACGCCGGACGAAGCACAGTCTGCAAAGGCTGACTCCTCACCGCTGGAGTCTGTAGCCATACTCGTCACGTTGGTACTAAGTTGCAATCGTTGCACTGTTCACAAACCAACTAAGTACACGGTGCACATTGCCACTTGCGGCAACTATTGTCACTAATACACTCGCCTCAGTGAATCACTCGCTGTGTTCGCGCGGGGTCGGCTCGCCACACTGGGCCGCGCTACCAGGAGGACGGGACGACCTCTGACCCGTGCCGCGGACCGGGCCGAACTGATGCCGGACCGGACCTTGACCCGTACTTAGTATGACCCTTATACGCACATGGTACCTTCACTAGGCCTTTGAGGTCATTTTTGGTGAGTTTCGAGCAGCAGCTATCGATTCCGCTGTCCGTAAGCCTAATCATGCAAAACCCCTGAATTTGACCTTTGACCTGACCTTTACCCGAAAGTTGAACTCAATCTTAAAATCTTAAGAGTGTTTTAGGAAGGTCTCGTAGAGACCTTTCGAACGCCGCCTCGCGGGGCTCGATACGACCATTGGTTCTCGAGATAACAGGGGGGGGGGGGGTCGGATCCGACCCCCAGGCTGTCGTGGGTACGGAAATAGCCCAGGCGGTGCCGGGTTAAAAGGAAGACTGCCACCTTCGAAAAGTTCGCATAAAACCATGCGTTAGGGGTCTTAATCACCACTAATGATTTTTAAGATGGTGCCTTGTGATTTTTTTTTAGATTTTAGCGCATGGTGCCTAATGGGCATCAATAAGCAGCTGCTGCATTTAATGCTTGTATAACATGGAATCGCTTACCTTTTCGTACGCCTTGCAAAACCCAGTCCTCAGAGAGGTTCATGCTGTCCTGGTGTTCGTAGGGTCCGATCAGGAGGCCGTCCCGCTCTTGACGGCAATAGTAGGAGCCCTCCAGGTCGCGCAGGACGGGCAGCTCGCGTTTCAGCGCCCTCACCTGTCGGCCGGGAGACAGAGATGGGCCAGCGGTCAGCGCCCTCACACCGATCAGCAGTCCGCTGCCGCAGCGCCGTACTCCGCGCGGCCACCGCCTGCTCCGATGCCTGGTAGTTATTTTTTTAAAACTAAAAATAAATAAAAATATACCAACACTTCATATTGCTTTTGTCGACCAGTTAGCCCGCTCCGGGTCGGTTCTTGGCGCAGCCTTCGCGGGCCGGGAGCTGCGTCGGTTGGACCCCCTGTCGTTCGGCCCCTGATCAAGCTAGAGCTTCGCGGAAAAAGCAAGCGTGTTGCCCGTGAGTGACGAGGGGAAGCCGATGATACCCAAGTTTAAGGTCCTTGGTCATTGGTTGACCTTCCAGGTCAGCTCACAGACCCAAAAGACGGGAAAATCAGGACCTGTAGGAACCTCCTAAAATAAGGCTGTAATAGGGTTTTTCGGGGTGCTGATCACGAATTTCATGTTAGTTTGGATCATAGATGACGTCTTTACTCGTCATGCATTTAGGCCAGGTCGGGGCAGGTCAAGTCAGGTCAACTAGTAGGGTACTTATGGGTGTCCACTACCACTGGCAGCTATGTGACATGATACGAAGGCATTAAAACTACTTCGTAAATGTTCCAATGGTTGCTAAATTCAAAATAAACTAAACGAAACTATCCTAGAAACATGTTAAACTCGAAAAAGTGCACCGAGGTGATCAAGGTCAATGAACTGACTTGACCTTAAGGAGACATTGACACCTACAACAATGGGTGGGACCAACATCATTTCACACTTGAGCGTTTGAAACCACGAAAAGACTGTAAAAGCGCGGATAATGTGAGCCGACATACGCCGAATCGCGATTCCGGCCAAACAGGGTCTCAAACATGGCCAAACATGGTCTCGACATGTAGGTCACAGGTCAAAGGTCACTGGGTAAGGTTCATGAAATTTCAGACTTTTAACCCGCGCCCTGCTGGGGGGTGTTTGAACACCCCCCCTTGTGGTTTTTCGCGAATATCTCAAAAACGGCGGCGCGGAGCGCCGCCGTTTTTGGTACACCTTATCGTACATCAATTCTACACATGTTGTGAAAATTTCAGACCAAGGTCATTCAAGGTCAGGTCACCAGGTCACTTGAAGTGACCTCACCTCATAAAAAGTTTCAATGTCTGTCATAGCTACACTGAGTGACCGATCGCTTTGAAACTTTCAGCGATTGCTAAGAGCAATAGCATGTACAAAATGTATATCTCAGAATTTTGATATCGATGACCTAAGGTTAGTTTCTTTTTAGCTGAAACTCTGCTTGAGGCTCATGATGAATAAAATTGATGTAAGAATAACCAGTAACCTCATAATATAAATCTGAAATAGGAGCCAAAAAGTTATATTTAAGATTATCGAATATTTCGCTCCTGGAGCTTCGTCAGCGATAATAACAGAAAAACATATCATGTATATATGTTTTTCTGTTATTATCGCTGACGAAGCTCCAGGAGCGAAATATTCGATAATCTTAAATATAACTTTTTGGCTCCTATTTCAGATTTATATTATGAGGTTACTGGTTATTCTTACATCAATTTTATTGACCTAAGGTTAGGTCAATTTTGCGACCTCCCCATTATAAGTCAATGGGAGAAAATTGAAATGCGCCTCTTTTGGACAAAAGACATTATAAACACTCCCAAACACCGAATTACAAGTGGTTTAGACACCCTGAACATGAAAATGGTGTCCGTGACCCTTGTTTATGCCCTGAGGTCATCTTAGGTCACGAATGGTATCTAACAGTTTTTCGCAAATAACTTTTGATAGAGGCATGCTAGAGCGATGAAAACGCCTTAGATGTGTTCAGCTCGACGATACGGATCGACTGATATGCAACATGACCCTTTCCGGTCAGGTCATGACCTTGACCTGAGGTCAAATTTTCAAGTTGACCTTTCAAGGTCAACTTATAGTTCATTCGATGCGTCTTGACGAGAGGAGCACAATGCCGGTAAAAGTAAGCTCGTACAAGGCTTGGGTCAAAAGTTATTGCAGAAAAACTGTTTCCGAAAAAATCGGCTATTTTTGCAATTTTTGCCCCCTGCAGGCAAAACCGTTGAAGTTAGGTCAAATCTGAGAGAATTACTCAGAAAGGGCTTTAATAGGGCTATCGAATGCGCTTTTCCGCGGCGCTGTAGCTCTATTGATTCTCTAGTTCTGCGTTGACTTCTTGGAAATTTTCTACATTCGACCTGGAAATCGGCGAAATTTTGCCTTCAATGACCTCTGGTGACCTGACCTTTGACCTGACCAAAAAATTGACCGAAGTGATTTCGTCATTATTTTTGACGCTCTTTCGAACGCCGCCTTCCGCGTATCGCTACGTGGCCCAGGAGCCGAGTTACAAGGGGGGGTGTTCAAACACCCCCCCCCCCCCCAGCAGGGCGTGGAAATCCAGGACCCCCAGCCGGGCGCGGGTTAATAACCTTGATTAACATGAGGGTATTAAAGTTTTGTCACGACCGGCTTCATGATACCTTACACCGGATAGCTTCACAGTCGATCGAGAGGTAAAGTATGCAATAAGACCTTCTTGGGTGAAGACAAGACCTGACAACACTTTTTGAATGCATTTGTAATAATTCGTTTATTATTTACATCATCATAAACACGCTATCTAGAAAACACGCGCCGGCGGCGCCCCAAAAGTGGTATCTTTCCGCTGCATGGGGCAAATAAAAAAAAACAAAATAAAATATTTGTCAAAATACCCATCTGAAATTTTTGCACACTGGTCAACAATTTCATAAGGAGCACCATAGACTATAAAAACATTTTTTAACTAATTTGCAAAATTGCCCGAGGCTATAACTCGATCACCGTTACTCTCTGACGGACCTGAAATCTTCAGAATCGGCTTCTGCGCACAGGCTTCTGCGCACTCTATACCAATTTTCAAGAAAATCCGAGAGGGGCGGGTGTTAAGCACTTGTTGAATCGTCCTGGAATGCCCCAGGTGCAAAAACACGTGAACCATAGCAGCTCACCGGCTTAGGGGTCGCATCATGGATCACCGAATGGTGTATACCATAGGCGCGGGAACCGGGGGGGGGGGGCAGTGGGGGCAGCTTGCCCCTCCCCCCAAACTCTGGGGCCGTGGGGGCGGTGGCCCCACAACTTTTAGACGGAATACCGCCTTTTTGCAAATGTTTTCTTTTTTTGTTGAACGAGCTAAGGGATGAAAAATAAGTGACCTAAAACCGGTGAGAAAACTAGATTTGGGGGTACCCTAGGTTGATCTATATTAGCCGTTTTCACGACGGCCATCTGGTACACATTTGGTGCACATCTGGTGCAGATTAGGTGCAGATTTGGTCAAATTAGGTTCAGTGTTTCTCTTAGTACCTATCAGCTAGGATTGCACTAATTGCTTATATGCCTACTTTGTCATATTATCAGAGAGCATCATTGATTAAAACACTGAAATAAATTCATAAAATGAAGATATTTGCTGTAAAAGAGATTACGTGCAGATTTGGTCAAATTAGGTGCATTCGCCAGATAGCCTGTCGTGAAAACGGCTATTATGGTGTCCCCCCCCCCCCCCAGTTTGAAAGTAGTTCCCGCGCCCCTGGTGTATACTGTGAAGTGTGTACCATAGCGTAATAAATAACTAATACATATAATGTAATGTAATAAATAACTAATATAATGTAATAAATAACCAGTATAGCGCCTTTTGGGGCGACTAACGGAGCGAGCGAGGGGGTGAGTCTTGCACGTGCGAAATTTCGAGGGGGTACCTCCAACTTGTGCACGGCACCCTACTGACCGGTTTCTAGCGATGTGCCAAATTTGAGCACAATCGGCCCAGCCGTTCTCGAGATCTGGGAGCGGCACCCTGCACGTGCGCACGTGAAAAATGGGTCCCAACTGACTTGTGCACGGCACCCTACTAACCGGTCCCTAACTGTGTACCAAATTTGAGCGCAATCGGTCGAGCCGTTCTCGAGATCTGGAAACGACCCCTGCACGTGCGCACGTGCAGCAGCACCCCAACTCTGGCACATGGATATGCAGTGTCTAGTAGGTGCCTACCTACTTGCCAACTTTCAGCGCAATCGGCCAAGTAGTTACAGAGATATCGCAACAATTACAAAAGTGACACCTCTTCGTTTTGCACGTGGCACGTGCATAAGGGGTCACCCACATGCATCGGGAATAGTCCAGTACTTGGTAGAAGGAATGAAGCTACCCTACAAAATTTACCGCATGTAAATCGGTCAAGTGGTTGCTGAGATATAAGCCTCGCAAAAGCCCGGCCGCTCATACTCAGAAATTTCCGTTAATCTAAGGAAAGACTTCGCTCGCTTCGCTCGCTCCGTAACTAATATAATAAATAATAATAAATAATTTGAGGACAAATGTCAAAAGCTCCCCCCTCATAGTTTTCTTCAAAATAAATAAAACGTCAATTTCATTTGAAAATGGCAACTTTTACTTCCGCTTAAAAAGTTGTATAAAATGTAGTATTTGGGCTAAGAACGAATTCCGACCTTATAGCGCCATTCTGGGGGTGTTCAGCGGTTCCAAGAGCAACTTCATTTAGTTCCGTACAGCCATGACGACTTTATAGACAAAAATTTCAGAATAGCAATGTGGGGTTATTTGGCCGGGACTAGTGGGGCAACTTGGCCGGTGCGCTCAGGGTCGCTTTGCTGGGACGGCCGAGTTGTTATGGTCAATTATACCGTAAATGACATAAAGTTCATGACCAACTTTGACTACCTTGATGCCTTATTTCCTATTGGACAGCTGTAAGGGCATGTGACGTCATTAACCCTCGCCCGCACATGGGGGTGGTTGCCACCCCCCCAGGTAGTTTTTCTGCTCTGCACTCCACATTTTTAAAGCTAGAAGCCTGATTTTTCGTATAGCTGCTCCTCTACCCTTTCTCGATGTCCACTGAAAATTTCAAGTTTCTGTGATTATTGGCTTCGGAGATATGACCATGTTATTCAGGTCATGTCATGACCCAAATGACCAATTCTCAACATCTTGCGTTGGCTATGGGCCTTGTCAGCTTCTGACACCTTGATTTCGGCCTTTTTTTGCCAGTCTCACCTCCCACCTATCATGGAACATGTTGTTCGACGATGTACAGATGTCAAGGTCAAGGTCAAGGTCAAACTAGGTCATCTAAAATAATTGCGGTTTAGGCAAGCTGCATTTACTTTTCCTGATTTTTTTTTACTGCATTTTTGGTAAAAGCTCAGATCATGATTTCATGTAATATGGACACATAAACAATCGGTGCACAAATCAGTAGGGGAAGTTGGGGGAACGCCGAAGACTTTTTTTCTGACGCCCGTAGCACGCAAGGTAGACAACATAAGCTATTCTTGTTGGCGTCATTCGAGAGGCCAGTCTTTTGCCTTTCAAACATACCAGGCGCATTTGATGAAATCGCATACCGTTAAGCGCACAAACTAAAAATATCAAAGAAGTGACTTTTTCGGCGTTACCCCGGACTGCGGGGAAAGCCGAAAATGGGAGAAATGATCTACGGGGAATGCCGACATTGATGTTTTGCCATTTTATCTCAAACTTTATCCATAATTGATCAAAGCTGACACGCGTTTTAAGAGCTTGAGGACGCGGTGCACACTGGAAGTTATAATTGTGTGATATAATAAGAACATACCAGGTAAATTATTCCTTATAGGTAACAGGCCGTTGTGTCGGTTGAAAGTGTAATTTGTGTGACTAAAAATACGCGTTGCTATTCTACAGCAGTAAAGTCCACGTAGCGTGCTTTTAACACGTGCGTAATCGCACGTTTTCGGCATTACCCCAGCCTGCCATACTTTCATTTGCAGGCCCATAACTTTTCAACGTGCTGTATAAATTTCAAATAGGCAGCACACTTATGCAAAGACATGCTAAAGATTACTTGACCGAATTGGCCAGACAAACGGTAGCATAATGAGTAAGAAATGCAGCTTCAAAGGCGCATGTAGCACAAGGGAAACGTACCTTGAAAACGCTCTTGGCGCCCTCACAGTCAAAGTATTCCGAATGACGACTCGTAACAAACATGCGATAATTGTAGTCACTTAAGCTTCAGAGCATCACTGACAGGTGGCATCCATGTCTTACGGTTTTCGAAATATCTCGAATTTCGGCTTTGCCCCAACTCCGGCATTGCCCCAACTTCCCCTATACACACAGACACACACAGACATACAAACACATATCATTGACCTTGACCTAAATTGACCTGAAATGACCTCTGCAGCAAGAACCTGGTCGGGTAGTGTGACAAAGAGCTTCTAGCTGGCTTGGCACCAGAAAACGGCATTGTCATCGGTATATGATAAGCAGCGCACTTGATATCCAACGGTGGCCCAAAACAGCAACATTTTTTTAGTTTGACCTGACCTGGAAGGTCAATGACTGACCTAAGAAGGTAAAACTGGGTATCATTGGATTCGTCTCTTCCCAAAAAATCTTTTTGGTCCTTACCGCGAAGCTCTATCTCCAACAGGAACGAAATGGCGCGGGGGTTGGCAACCCCCTCCCCCCCCCCCCTCCCATGTGCGTTCTAGGATGGGAAAATGGCACGTGCGGGCAAGGGTTAAAGATAACCAAACGTTTTTTTTTGCTAATAAATCCTAACAGGAAAAAGATACAGCCGCGCAAATGGTCTCATTGTGTTCAGCTCATCTAGGCGCATCAAATGATATACATGATGACCTTCAAATCACGTGACTTTGAGGTCAAGCGACTTGAGGTAGCGTGACCTGAAGTCAACCTTTGACCTTGACCTCTCGAGGTCAACACACATATGTTTCGATGCGGTCTGACGAGAGAATTACGATGCTACTTTTAGCTTTGACCTAGCTTGATTACTTCAAAAGGTATTCGTAAAAAAACTGTGATCGCATCTAGAGCCGCTATTTTGACTATTTTCGACCCCTGTGACCGCTGAGTCTTCCTCCGAAATGCGTCAAATGCGTCGTAGGACACACGCCATTGCTGAATGTGAAGCTGACTCGCCTATAACAAAAAATCCCGGCCTCAAACTAACTAACACCGGCCAAATTGCACCACACCCCCCGCCAAATAACCCTGCTAGTGGGGCAATTTGGCCGCCTTGCAGAGCTTTGTAATACGTCACAATTACAATATAAGTAATTACTCTATCATTTCAAGTTCACTGTCCAGTAAAGTAAAATGAATGCGACACCTGTCAGCGTTGAGAAAATGCAGAAATGTTTCGTCAATTTTAGGTTACATCGTTTTCTAAAAAAGCGGCCAAATTACCCCAGCCTCCCCTACATTACTGCCGTGTAAAAGTCCACCATATTTTAAATGTCCTGGAAAAACTGTGGGAACACGGACGGACGGTTAATGTTAATACAATAAAATACAATAAAACTACGGACTACAGTGGCAGTGGCTGTGGACCGTACCTCGGGAATGGCCGACGTCACCACGTACTGGTGGTGGATGGGCACCAGCGGTAGGTCTTCCCCTGCCATCTTGCCCACCTCCTTGGCCCAGAAACCTGCGGCAGGCGATACGGACGGAGCTCTGTCACTAAGTCCAACGGCGCAACATGGACGGAGACTCTGTCACTAAGTCCAACAGCGCAACATGGACGGAGACTCTGTCACTAAGTCCAACGGCGCGACATGGACGGAGACTCTGTCACAAAGTCCAACAGCACAACTTTCTACTTTACTTTACTTTCATCTACTTTACTTTCATTACCGCATCATCAGGAGAATAATAACTACGAACAAATTGTTACACATTATCCATGTATCACCTAATAACTTATGCACTTTCTGCAAACAAGAAACTGGGACGATTGAACATCTTTTCTGGCGCTGCGTCGTCACTAAACAATTCATAGAAAAGATCGACTGTAAACTCTTCCAAAAATTTCAAATACATTATAGACACCGCGTTGATGCGTGGTTTTTCCCTAGAGATTTAGACGAAATACAAATACTGATTATCACAATAGTCAAGGCAGTTATATATAAAGCCAGAAATGATGGCGAAAGACCTAGCATAAGTCATTTCTGGAACTACGTAAGAAACGAAGCTCAGAAAGAGCGATTTTCATGCAGACTAAAAAACAAAGAAGATGTATTTCAAAAGAAATGGAAAACTTTGAGCAAGATAGTCTGTTTATTTTTCTATTGTGTAGGGCACATAAGTTGTACGAAGGAGCGTCGGATGCTTTGTGGCGTGCACAGCAACATTCACATAGCACAATCTAGGAGCAACGCGGGTGACACCCGTATGTTTTATACCTTTTGTACTGTGTACTTCAAGCGTTTTGAAGTGTACGACTGTACTGAGTTTTGTTTGTCTTCGTGAAAATAAATTAGCGTGGACATGAAAAAGTCTAACAGCGCAACATGGACGGAGACTCTGTCACTAAGTCCAACAGCGCAACATGGACGGAGACTCTGTCACTAAATCCAACAGCGCAACATGGACGGAGACTCTGCCACTAAGTCCAACAGCGCAACATGGACGGAGACTCTGTCACTAAATCCAACAGCGCAACATGGACGGAGACTCTGCCACTAAGTCCAACAGCGCAACATGGACGGAGACTCTGTCACTAAGTCCAACGGCGCAACATGGACGGAGACTCTGTCACTAAGTCCAACAGCACGACATGGACGGAGACTCCGTCACTAAGTCCAACAGCGCAACATGGACGGAGACTCTGTCACTAAGTTCAACAGCGCAACATGGACGGAGACTCTGTCACTAAGTCCAACAGCGCAACATGGACGGAGACTCTGTCACTAAGTCCAACAGCGCAACATGGACGGAGACTCTGTCACTAAGTCCAACAGCGCAACATGGACAGAGACTCTGTCACTAAGTCCAACAGCGCAACATGGACGGAGACTCTGTCACTATGTCCAACAGCGCAACATGGACGGAGACTCTGTCACTAAGTCCAACAGCGCAACATGGACGGAGAGTCTGTCACTAAGTCCAACAGCGCAACATGGACGGAGAGTCTGTCACTAAGTCCAACAGCGCAACATGGACGGAGAGTCTGTCACTAAGTCCAACAGCGCAACATGGACGCCGAACGGAGACTCTTGTCACTAAGTCCAACAGCGCAACATGGACGGAGACTCTATCGGAGACCGGAAGCCGAGTCTGTGCATATCACTGCCTTCTGAAAATGTTTGTTTGCAATATATTTAACCCGCGCCCCGTTGAGGTCTGGCAGGTTCCACGTCCTGTTGGGGGGGGGGGGCAAAGGCCCCCCCGTCGTATCTCCGGAACCAATAGCCGGATCGGAAAAAATCAAACGGCATTCGAAAGCGCTCATCGAGATGCACAATATTGGATATCGATGACCTTGATTTTTATCTGTGACGTCACAGGGAGGTCAAACAAGGTCAAATCAGTCCAATTTACAATGACGAGAAGTCGGTCATAAAAATGCATATTTACGTCTGGACAACAAGTTGCGTGGAAAAGTGCTGATTTTGTCGCAGTTTTAGGAGCCGGTGATTAGCCTGGATTTTACGGTAACTTTTTCGCTCCGTTTCCTGTATTTCATAGTGTTTGGTTTTTGAATATTTTAGTTCTTTCAGAGAAATATTACTTGCCTTACAGGTTTTGTTAACCCGCGGTTTGTTGGGGGGGGGCGTTAAACGCCCCCACTTTTTTTCGCAACGCTATATCTTTGAAATGGCGCGCCGCAGGCACGCCAAATTTTCAGTACCTGTCACAAATTGATTGAAGTATACTTTGTGCAAGTTTTAAAAAAAATCGGTCAACAATTTTTTTAGATATTGATCTTTTACTGCCGTACTGATTTCTGACTTTCTAGTCAAAAACGATCAATAATTGAAAAATGATAATAAATCGTGTGAATAAGATACAAACAATTCACAGATAGCAATCAAAAGGAAATTGCATTATTGTTTTGATGGCTATCTTCGATTTTGCGATTTGGGTGTTTTTCCCCCGACAGGGGGCGCTTGAACCCGGCACTTTTGATGCGATTTATCTTTGCGTTGAAGCGTTGCAGGCACACCAATTTTTTCAGAATATTTTTCAGTTGATACTTAGCTGATGCTAGTGAAGTACAGCAAAAATCAATAGAGTTGTTTATGCGTTTTTATGCTTTTGTTCATATACTATTGAAAATGGTAGCGCTGTCCTGAAGGGTCACACATCGAGAAAACACATGTGGTTTCATCAAGGAACTCGGTTAGACATTTGTTTTTGAGATGAAGTTCTTTTGCGTTATCAGTTTGCTGTCGGCATGGCGTTTGAAGAACTGCTACAGCCCACCGCTAGACAGCACGTGCCACCTGTCTGACCACACGGGAAAGAGATCAAACGAGCCGCCCCCCGCGGAGCGGAGGGCGGAGGGCGTCTGGGTCTAAAACACAGCTGTGGTTGGAAGGGGAGGGATTTCGGTCGCTAATGATCTACTGATAAGAATCTACTTATACGGAGGCGTCGAGAGGGCGGAGTCGTGAGATCCCCGGCCACAGCCCACCGCTAGACAGCACGTGCCACCTGTTTGACCACACGGGAAAGAGATCAAACGAGCCGCCCCCCGCGGAGCGGAGCCTGGGTCTAAAACACAACTGTGGTTGAAAGGAAAGGGATTTCCGGCTAATGATCTACTGATAAGAATCTACTTGTACGGAAGCGTCAAGGGGGCGGAGTCAGTGAGACGTGTCGCCACAATCAGGGGAGGCCAGGAAACTGTGATTGATGAGCCATTTACATAGTGCCGACATGCCTCGACGACCGGTTCTACTGTCGGCCTCTCAGGCGCTGCAGCTTTTGCAGGGAATATCTGATCTGACAGTGAAAGTGATCTAAGTGCTGACAACGATACGAATATCGACAGCGACGAAGACCAGCTGTATTAGCTCGTCGACGACGAGACACCAGTCGGCGAAGAAGAAGCTGATCCGGAGCCGCCAGCAAGAGTGAGACCTGCTGAGCTAACTCGGTCACAGAAAAAGTTGCAAGAAGCAAACTTTCAATTGCATTCAGCCACGACGGCAGGGACGTACACCGTATACAACGGCAAGCGGTCGGTTGTAGCAGAATGGACTACTGATCACCAATCCACGAGCCGGCGACGGACGCCAGAAAACGTCCTCACTCAACGGTCCGGTGTGAAAGGAGCTGCTAAAAACGTGACAACTGAAGCCGAGGCGTTCAAACTTTTCATCACCGATGACATGATTGAAAAAAATCACTGAGGCCACAAACAAGAAGCTCCAGTCAGCTGAAGACAGCTTCAAAGCTGCAAGTACCAGCCAGTCCCACGAAAGCATGAAACATCAGTACCGGCCAATCACCCATTCTGAGATGTGCGCCTTCATCGGCCTGAACGTGCTGCGCGCATTCTACAGTGACTTGAAAGTGTCCCAGCTGTTCGATCCATCAGTGGGGCCGGCCATTTTTCGAGCAACGATGGGAGGCAAGCGCTTTGCAACCATCCTGCGCCATCTGACATTCGACGACCGAGAGTCTAGAGAAGAGCGACGGAAGGGAGACAAGTTTAGTCCCATCAGAGACCTCTTCAACATGTTGGATGAGAACCTGAGGCGCTACTTCATTCCAACAGAGTGTCTGACTCTTGACGAGAGTCTCCTGCGGTTCCGGGGCAGGTGCCCATTCAAAATGTACCTGCCTAGCAAACCAGGCAGATATGGAATCCTCCTGAGAACTGTGGCCGACGCAAACGTGAGATACATGTGGAAGATGTGGCCGTATGCCGGAAGACCAGCGGAGCCTGAGCGGTCCCCCCGAACGTGACGCTCTAAAATGTTCCAGAAATCGTCAAACATCTGGTGCAGGAGGTGGCTGGAACCGGTCGGAACATCACGATGGACAGGTTTTACACTTCTGTACCACTCGCTGAGGACCTGGCCGAGGATCGACTGACAGTCGTCGGGACCCTAAATAAGAGCCGGAAGCTACTCCCCAAGGAGCTGACAGAGGCAAAAAATCGAGCGCCCAACTCGAGCGTATTTGCCTTTCGCAACGGCGTCACGCTTGTGTCACACAGCCCCAAGGAGAAGAAGGTTGTGCTGGCGCTTCCAACCCAGCACAAAGCGCCCTTTGTCGACACAGAGACGGGCAAACCAGAGGTAATATTATATTACAACGCGACCAAGGGCGGAGTCGTTGTGATCGACTCAATGATCGAGAGATACATGGGGAAGCCGCCACTCCGTCGCTGGCTAACGGCAGTGTTCTTCTTCATGCTGAGCGTGGCCCAGGTCAACAGCACCACCATCCTGCTGATGAACCGAGGCCAGGGTGCGGCGGAGGTGAGCAACGGCGTGCGTCGAAGAATGATATTCGACCTAGGTCAGAGTCTGGCTAAACCAAGACTACAGGAGCGAACGGCCAATCCTGTTGGCCTGAAGAGCGGCACACTGTCAGCGATGGCCTGTGTCACGGGCGCTCCAGCCCCTCGCCAGACACAGACCAGGCCAGCGCGAACATCGAGGGGCCGCTGTGTCAAGTGCCTAGGAGAGC